AATATTGCTAGAGGGGGGTGAATAGTCTATTTAAAAATCTACAAACCGACTAAAGCAATTTGATTAGTATAACAAATAGCGAAATGCAAACTTGCTCTAGCTCTACAAGGGTTGCAAGCCACCTATCCAATAATTCTAGTTGATATGATCACTAGGTACACAATCCACTAGGTCACTACTCACTAAGAGCTCTCACAATTGCTACACTAAAGAGCTCTACTAGATGAACTTAAACCACAAAGCAAGCTCTCAATTCTAGCTACACTAAAGAGCTTGATATAGCTAGTTTGCGGGAATGCAAATGAGTAGGTGAGGTGATTATACCACCGCGTAGAGGAGTGAACCAATCACAAGATGAATACTTTATCAATCATCGGGAGAATACCAAAGGGCAAGAGACAACCGATTTTCTCCCGAGGTTCACGTGCTTGCCAACACGCTACGTCCCCATTGTGTCGACCAACATTTGGTGGTTTGGCGGCTAAGAGGTGTTGCATGAACCTCATCCACACAATTGGACACCGCAAGAACCTAACCACAAGTGAGGTAACACAATAACACGAGCAATCAACTAGAGTTACCTTTCGGCGCTTCGCCGGGGAAGGTACAAATCCACTCACAATCACCGGAGATGGCCACGAACAATCATCGACTCATGCCAATCCTCCACCACTGCACCAAGCCGTCTAGGTGGTGGCAACCACCAAGAGCAACAAGTGAATCCCACAGCGAAACATGAATACCAAGTGCCTCTAGATGCAATCACTCAAGCAATGCACTTGGATTCTCTTCCAATCTCACAATGATGATGGATCAATGATGGAGATGAGTAGGAGGGCTTTGGCTAAGCTCACAAGGTTGTTATGTCAATGAAAATGGCCAAGAGAGTGAGCTTTAGCCGGACATGGGGCTTAAATAGAAGCCCCCACAAAATAGAGTCGTTGGACTCCTCACTGCATAGAACACGGGCCGATCGGACGCACCTGTCAGATTGACCGGACGCTGGACCTCAGCATCCAGTCATGTGATGCACGCCACGTGTCCCTCTCTTCAAATGTTGTGCGCCTGATCTCAACGATCAGAAGACCACCGGATGCAGCAGCTAACATTGATCGGACGCTGAACCCCCAGCGTCCGATCGTTTCCAGTAAGCTTCTAGAAATGATTTTTCCCGACCGGACGTGTCCGGTCACGCTTGATCGGACACAGCCAGCGTCCGGTCACACAGTGTCTTCCTCTGTGTTGCCACGTCAGCATGATCGGACATAGCCTACCAGCGTCCAGTCGCTGAGTGACCTAGCGTCCGGTCGTTTGACCGACGCTAGCATCTTCGCTGTTACAACTGACCGGACGCGCTGGTCCCTCTAAGACCAGCATCCGGTCACTTTGTGACTAGTGAGATCAACTCCTTTTCACCTCTATCTTCTTCACCCTTGCTCAAATATGCCAACCACCAAGTGTATCACCTTGTGCACATGTGTTAGCATATTTTCACAAACATTTTCAAGGGTGTTAGCACTCCACTAGATCCTAAATGCATATGCAATGAGTTAGAGCATCTAGTGGCACTTTGATAACCGCATTTCGATACGAGTTTTACCCCTCTTAATAGTATGGCTATCGATCCTAAATGTGATCACACTCGCTAAGTGTCTCGATCACTAAAACAAAATGGCTCCTACAATTTTTACCTTTGCCTTGAGCCTTTTGTTTTTCTCTTTCTTCTTTTCTAAGTCCAAGTACTTGATCATCACCCTGGCATCACCGTCATCATGTTATGATCTTCATTTGTTTCACCACTTGAAATGTGCTACATATCTCATGATCACTTTGATAAACTAGGTTAGCACTTAGGGTTTCATCAATTCACCAAAATCAAACTAGAGCTTTCAACTCCGTCGCGGTGAATCACCCACAACCGCTGACAACTTGAGTTGGGTCATCCACAAGCTCCACCGAATGATCACCAAACTCCTAATCACCACCAAGCCGTCTAGGTGATGGCGATCACCAAGAGTAACAAGCAATAACTCTTACTTGACCATAACAAGCCTAATGAGAAGGGTGGATGCACACTTGCTACTCTCTTTGAACTAATGAGGCCTTAATCTTGGATTCTCAAATCTCAATCACCTCACTAGGCTCTTGCTCTCCTAAGCACTCTCAAGGGTGTTTCTTAACTGTTGAAATAGGCAAGAGTACTCCCTTGAATGAATAGAGGACGTATATATACTCCCTCATTTAAAACGAATCGTTATGTGCCTCTACGGGGTGACCGAACGCTCCGGTCATAGTGACTGGATGCACCGGTCAGTTCTCCCCATAACCGAGCAGTTAAGTTGTGACCGGACACTAACCAGTGTCCAGTCACAAAAACCGCTCTCTGGAACCTTACTGGAGTTGACCGGACTCTAGCATTCAGCGTTCGGTCACTCTTCTCTCAGCGTCCGGTCACAATCAGACGGCTTTACCTTGATCAAATGAACTGATCGGACTCTGTGCTAGCGTCTAGTCACACCGAAATCAGCGTTCGGTCAATATTTGACTCTTCATTCACTTCCAACTCATAATCATATGTGAATGAAGTTTGCTCCAATTGATCTTAGGGCCACTTAGGAGCTATCTAGTGTTAGATTTGACAAGTGTGCACCACACCTAACCCACCAGACTCACCTAGGTCAAGTTACTAGCCCATACCCCTTAATAGTATGGCCAATGGAAAACAAAGTCCTAAACTACTCTAAGTGCTCTAAGTGTCTCTTCAACACCAAATGACACTTAGAACTAGTCCGTCCTTAATATTGTCGTCCATCCTTTGAAAACTAAAACGATTTCCATCGTAGGGGCATGACAACCATGATTGCCCAATCAATTGCCATTACCATGACCTAGCTTAATTGGCTCTACAAAATACACGTTAGTCATAGTAATCATGTATTGTCATTAATCACCGAAAGCCAACTAGGGGCCTAGATGCTTTCACTGCGTTCGGTCGATTACCCTCCAGCGTTCGGTCAATGTTGAGCTATTGTCACGACAGTGAACAGTGTCATCGTCGCGTCCAGTCAATTGAAGTCCTCAGCGTTCGGTCACTGCTGCTGACGCCTGCTGTTGTCGAGCATCTTGATCGGACGCGTCCGGTTGCTATAAGGATCACGTTCTGTCACCTCTGTGAAGCTCATTTTTCACGATTTTGCATCCGGCTTGGTTCCTATCTTCGTGCTTGGACTTTGCTTGATATCTTAGGTCTTCTCTTGTGCTTTTAGGGTCTTTCTTATAGTGTTGATCATCGGATCATCATGTCGCCTTCGTCCAAGTCACGTCTTACGCTCTATTGAACTACAAAACAATCACTTGCAAATTCATTAGTCTAATTTAGTTGTGTTGGTTATCAAACACCAAAATCCAAAGTAAATAGGCCTAGGGTCTATTTTTCTTACATACTGAACTAATGTTTGACACGTTGCATTTTATTTTATCTCATAATATCAGCTATGAACGTTCCTTTTTAAAAAAAAATAAAGGAAGGTTTATTATATAAATAAAATTCTAACCTTTGTAACAATAATAACAAGGTGCATACAACAATACCATGGACCTTTTAGAAACTTATATACGAGCTCAAGTCCATAAATCCCTGACATTTTACATTGAAACCTTAGATTAAAAAACTTGTTACCATCATGTTCTTCGGACGATGGATGTGGAACTTCTTAGATTTGCTCGTCCAAGGCCCAAAGTGTTGTAACGGCAATGCGGTCGCTGATGGAAAATAAAATCTTCAAGAAAAAAGTCTATTTTACCTCCCAAATAACCGTCATGGTATGATTTTTCTCATAAGACTATAAAACCCAACATCCTTACCCCTTAACTTTCAAAACCATTCAAATTACATCATCCCTTTTTTTGTTAAAAAATTTGGTAAATACTTGATAACATTTTTAAACCACGAAAGATGTCCCTAAGCTTCTAACAAGTCTAAGAAAATCCTAGACATGTATTGGGACATGCAAAAAAGATATTTATAGGTCATGAAAGATCTGTAGGGGTTTCCAAAAATTAGATTTAGCTATAGAAAAAGGGAAACATCAAGAAGAATGTGGAGAATTCCTAAAACATTCTAATCGATGTATGTGTTTTAAAACTTTTCCATAATAGAATACGAGAAGCAAGTAAGCAACTAGCATAAAGTGCATAGCATGAATGCATTCAACATTCATCTATGTTTTTATTTATAATGGTTTCATCTTATGGCAGAAAATTTTCAAAACATGTATACATCTATATTTTTTTGTAAGTTTTCCAAAAAAAATTATATATTTTACATTTTCCTAGAGCTACATCTATTTTTGGAAGCTTCTAAAGAAATTTGCATGAGCTCAAAATATTTTATTTGGGTTACTCATGTCTCAGTCTATCTCTAGGACTTTTATAGGAATTTTAGAAGATTATATATTTTTTGTAGTTTAAAAACTTTATTAGATATTTACCTTTTTTTAACTAAAAGAGGTCGACACCACTTTGAAAACCACTTCAAATCGGGGCAAGGATGTAATTTAAATGGTTTTGAAAGGAGGACGTTTCGCTTCAAAGTTTGAAGAAAAAAATCATGCCAAGGTTTCTTTTGAGTGAAAACATCATACCAAGGTAATAATTCATATTTTTTGAGAGGGGTAAAATAATTCATAGGTTTTTTTTATTGTCTTTATACGGACAGCCCATAGCCTACAGAAAAAGGCCGGCGACACAAAGAAAAAGGCCAAGGCCCAGTAGCCCAACCCAACCACCCATTCCATCCAACAGATCGACGCCGTCCGATGCGAATCGAGCGTCCCCACGCCTCGCGCAGCAGCGCGTACACAAAACCCTAGTAGCACACCAGCTATATAATCCTTCACTCCTACCAGCCGCCTCCACCCGCTCCCCCAGCCAGAAAACCCTAGCCGCCGCCGCAGCGGCCTCCCAGGTAAGCAGGAGCGTCCACCCCCGCCATAGCCGCCATGAAGCGCAACCCCCGCGTCACCAGCTCCCGCCGGAAGTGCCGCAAGGCGCACTTCACGGCCCCGTCCTCCGTCCGCCGTGTGCTCATGTCCGCGGCGCTGTCGACGGAGCTCCGCCACAAGTACAACGTGCGCTCCATCCCGATCCGCAAGGACGACGAGGTGCAGGTCGTGCGCGGCACCTACAAGGGCCGCGAGGGCAAGGTGGTGCAGGTGTACCGCCGCCGCTGGGTCATCCACGTCGAGCGGATCACCCGCGAGAAGGTGAACGGCTCCACCGTGAACGTGGGCATCCACCCCTCGAAGGTGATCGTCACCAAGCTGAAGCTCGACAAGGACCGCAAGGCACTCCTCGACCGCAAGGCCAGGGGCCGCAACGCCGACAAGGCTAAGGGCAAGTTCACCGCCGACGATGTCGCCGCCGCTGCTGCTGGTGCCGCCGCCACCGGTGCCTCTCTCCAGGAGATCGACTAGGCGCTTCGCGGGGATCTGATGGTGGTCGTACCGCCTTTTCCTCCTTATCGTTCTAGTTTTTGCAATCAATGATTATGTGCTAGGAGTTCTAAGTTGAAAACTGTTTTATGCCTCGATGAGAGTTTTTGAACTTAATGTGGATCTATGTGTCTGTGATCTGAGATATGAAGAATTCATTATATGGTTAATATCTCTTCCTTGTGGTATCTCCTTAATCTTGTGGTATCTTCTTAATGGTTGCTGTGCTTTGGCTTCACTCTATTGCTTATCTAATGCAATCTATTGGTTTATCTTGTCTGTTGAGAGTTTGCTAATTTTATATTGTAGTCTGTTAAATAAATTAGCTTGAATGTCGTTTGTAGGTTATATTTCGAATTATATCTACTTGTGAGGAAGCAATTTATGTTAATTGTCAATCTAGTTGTTTGAAGGTTTTTAATTTGACATGATTTATTTACTTTTCAATGTGCCCGTTCCAAACATTTTTCATCAGCCATATGTTTGTAGTAGATGCCATAGGGCCTGCTAGTTTGATCCCAAAACCAAGGGGATTGGAGGGGTCCCCCCTCAACCCTTCTAATCGCCTCCAATCCCTTTAATTTTGGGATCAAACGAACAAGGCCTTAGGCATGTTGTGTCTGGAAGGTTGTGTATGTTAAATTCACATGCTTCTGCTCTTGTTTTCATTGTGATCAAGTTACAGTTTACATCCAGCATGCTTCTGCAGGTAATTGTTGGTGTCTGATTATGTTTGCAATAGCTAATGTTAGCCTAGACCTTGTTAGCTACTGGAATGCTTCCTTGTTTAATTATGTTTGTATTGTAATAGCTAATTTTAGCCAAAACCTTGTTAGCTCCTGGTATGCTTGCCTGTTTAATTACGTTTCTAATAGCTAATGTTAGCCTAAACCTTGTTAGCTCCTGGTATTCTTGCCTGTTATTGAGTGCTAGCAATCTTATGCATGCATTTGTTCTGGAAGATTGTGCTTTCACAGCAGACGTGGTTCCAAGTGCACGCAACTCTTAAATAATTATGGTAGTACTTCAATTCAGTATCACGAGGGGGCTAATGAGTGTTCTATATATAGCTTGTTTTTGTTTTGAACCAAATTGTTCATTTTGAATGAATGATGCTTGTTGAACTGGGCCATGCTGAATGCTTGTTGAATCTATAGCGAAATATATGATATTTCTGTTAGTGTGGAAACACGTTGACGCCCCTGAATTTGATCTTGTCTCTACCTGAAATATGTGTAAGAGCTGCTTAGATGTGATTTGCTCCAGTGTGGAGATAAAGAAGCACTGTTCATTTCGTTTTGTTCATTTGCCTGTGCATTGAAATTGTACATACCAGTATATCACACTGAGATTGGGATTGGTAATACGGATGCTCGTCTTCAACCTCTTTCTTGCCCCAGCCCCTCCCGCTCAGATCCTTGGAAAATAGTAGGATTTTTTCTGACCGTTTGGAATGCACTGGAAAAGAAAAAATCCACTCAGTCCACTCAGATCTTTTGTTTTTTCCTTCGTGTATGATGACAGTGCTTGTGAAGAATTAAAGAAAGAAGGCAGCATGCCACATCAAGAGTTTGTTGTTTGTCTGTCGCCGTGGTAACCCCATGGCATTCCCGTTTGTACCACAGCCATCCAGAAGCGCCGCGCTCCTGGTGGGCAGTACTCCTGGTTCCCCTGTCATGGCTGACTTGATCTGCTTCGTGCCTATCGCGTCCATGGCCTGCCCTTTGGCTTCTACGATTGGTGGATTGGTGAGAATGATGAACAACACGAGAGTCGAGAGGATTAAAATGATAACGCGCAGGAGAGACATCGATGAAAGAATTGTATAAAAAATTGAAGGGCGACAAAACTAACTTAACCATCTATTGGTCAGGTGGTATTGTAAATATTCCAGTCAAGGCAAGATCAGTTTGTGAAGGTACATGACTATCTTTCATTTCTTTCCTTTTCCCTTTGGCATCTACTCAGTATCTAATTATTATTGAGTTCTCTGTATTTCTAATTCCTGTTTTCGAAACACCATCACTATTTGTTTTTTGTGTTTTTTTCTATCCTCTATTTTGCTATTTCATTTCATCTACATCCTATTCCTGTGTTATTTTTCTTTTCCTGTGTTTATGTTCCCTCTTAAGGTGTTGCCCTTGTCTCACCACAGCATGCCTTCTCCATCATCGCTAGCCACGTCGCCCACAGATCCTTGTCCTTACCTAATCCCAATTGGACAAAGAGCCTCTGTACACTGTATGTCTCCCGTCACTTTGCACTGCCCCTCAACCAACCACCATTGTCAACGAAGACATTTTGCCTTGTTCGCCACTTGACTCGGCCACCACCCACAGTTGGCGACGAGGCAACTCTGTGTGGCTCCGCCAACCTCCGGTTCGACCCGCATGTCCACCTCACTCCCCCCCTCTCAGGCTCATGCCAAACAAAGATTTCGCAAAAAAAACAAGAAAAAAGAAAAGTCCGGAGCCGCTTGCCGCGGCGCACACTACTTAGTCATGTGTATGATAATAATGGTGCATGCATGTATATGCAATGACCGAACTTTTGGGCCCCTATTTTCTAAGAAAGTAACTCCTATTATCTGTAGTATATAGCCTTTTCTTCTCCTCCAACGTATTACCAGTACCTTTTGGAAGTGGATATGTGAGAAGGGGTGTAAATCTCCTACATTTGAGGGAGAGTGTGTGGATTTTGAGTAACTGTCTAAAACTTTTAGATATTGAAGATAGAGTGAGTATTTGTTGGTGCAATCACAAATCCTTATATTGTACTCCCTTGATTTTAAATTATAAGACGTTTTGGATTTTTTTAGATATACATAGATTTTGCTATGGATTTAGATATACATTATGTCTAAATATATAGTTAAAGCAGTATATGTAGAAAAACCAAAACATCATATAATTTGGAATGGAGGGAGTATGTTTTCAGTATTAAGGATGAGACAAGTAATCTGTTGGAGATGCTCGTAGTCGTATACTGGATAATGGCTGTGTGATTAGGCCGACTAAAAAATAGGCCAGATGGCGGTTATTGTGCTTGGCTGACCATGTGATTTTATTCGGCTGGCAGAGAATGCAGCTGCTGGGCTGGTGGCCCAGCATCGGCCTAGCTGTTGGCAAAACGGCCCAGGCAGGCAGCGACTGCTGCCGAGTATAAAAAGGAGAATATTCTAAAAAAAGGAGAAAACAGAGAGGCGAGGAGAGCGTAGTCTCGCACATATAAATCTTCACATACATATATATGGGCGCGCAACAACAAAATCACCATAGATATCTTACAAAGTGCACATATTTGTACCTTCAAGCAAACGAACTCAAATAGGAGTAAATACATGTAATGATACAGGGACAACCAAATTAACCAGACAATAAAAAGGAAAACAGGGCAAAACACATCACTGCTATAACAACTAGTAGTACTCACTTCGTCTACTTTGAAGACGAGCTCGGCAGCACGTTGTTTGGAGTTGCACTTTCCGAGTCCTCTTGGAAGTTATTCCATGGATGTACATGAGATCTTCTCGGGATGCCTTCAAAAAGAACATTTACATCTGCGTAACATACTGCGCCAGTCATATAAATTTCTCTCCCTTTACCTCTTTCCACGAGATCGACCTCATAGTACAAGTCCCCTAGCTGACGATGTGCCATGAGCAGCCAGATGAAGGTGAGGAGCTCCCCTCCCGTGCTCAGCCGGCGAGCGTGCTCCTCCGGGCGGGACTTCCCAGCTGCATAGATGAGCAGCCGCACCCATGTCTCCGCAAGCATTTGCAGCGCTGCACGAAGATCCTCCTCGCGCTTCACCATGTCTTCCACTAGGGAGAAAGCTTCCTCAGTCAAATTGAACGCATTCTGAAATGCAGTAGACTGTGTTGGCAAATTATCCAGAAAAATCTCCTTGCTACCACGAGATCTGTCTTTGAAACTCTTGGTGGCTCTTACTAGTAAGTCATGCACGTTGCCTCCAACAGGTAGCAATGCAGGGTGCATGACCAGCAGGAACAACATGTAATCAGACATCCCCCTGCATGAATCTATAAGGGGACGCATCTCCTGCATTATCCCTCCCATGTGTCTTGCCTTGAACAGGAGCAAGTCTGTGAAGACGTGCATCAACAACAAGGCCTCCTCGAAGGGGCGCTGGACCACATCATACAATTGAGAAGGCATTCTTAGGGGCTCCAAGTTCTCTCTATTGATCTCTTGGTGGATGAGATTCTTTATTTCAGTGGTAACTTTGGCATGCCTGATGTGTCGAATGCTAGTCCAAATCTCCTTAGCTCCAACCTTAACCATCATTTGAGCTATCCTCGACCTATCGTCAGCAACACAGGAGTTTAAGAAGTTGTATTGCCCAATTGAGTTTGACCACCATGGCTTCGTTTCTGGCTGGATCTTCGCAAAGATAAACCATGGTACTCTGGCGAGGATACTGCATCCTCCATGTCTATCTTGGTCGGGTTCCATGGACACCAATGCCCGTGGTGAAATAATGGCAAGAATGGCAGCAAAAGCCTCCAAGAAAAAAGCTCCTATGAATAATATATAGGTTACTACTACATCATCACTTCTTGGTGGAGACCTATACTGTCTTTTCTTGTTGTTGCTCATCAAGAGGAACAACACAAAAGCAACCATTGAGGAGGTGAGGGAGACACATCGAAGTATGAGCCCACCCCTTGCTTGGATCACTTTTGCTTTTGTGTAGAGATCGTCGTACATCATGCTAAGTTCAATCTCCATTAGCTTGAAAACTACTTGTACAAGTGTCATTGGTTGGTTGTAAGGAAACCGAAATAACCGTTGGGTGTCAGGCTCCATCTGGTATATTTTCCTTCCAGCAAATACCTCATGAACACCTAGATTGGAGTGAAAAGCACGCTTGACAATCGATGAATATTTCATATCAGTTTGAAGATGGATGTCTTCATGTCTATATCTCACTCTGGGTGATTCATTTGCAACTATGGTTGTCTGAGTGGAATCATCAAATACAATAATGCTGCTGATAGCAGAGCTCTTGAGGCCTTTCTGGCTCCCACACTTGAGCGCCCATATCCTCTCCCCATACTTGATGACTCCGGCGACAAATACAAAGGCTGCTGGTATCACAAGCTGGTTATGTGCCATTGAATTCCATAACACATAGAGAACTAGGCATACTTGGACCATCATGTTCAGAAAATGCCTCAGCCATAGCTCATTGTCCTCCAGGGCGAAGGCAGTCACAGTGTCTTGCCCGCCAAGGTGCACGAGAAGGAATGGTGCCCACAAGAGAGTGAGAGGGTGGCTTGGGCTGGACAATGCTTGGGATTGAAGGCATTCTTGGTAACATCTATCACCATTTGCAGTAGTAGTTGTGGTGGTGGGTAGATGTCTTGAGAGGTACCCTAGGGCGTATACAGCAATGAAGTCCGCTGATAGGTATGCAAGCCATAGTGAGAGCCTGAGCAGAGCATTGCTGCTGCGGCGCCGAAGGCCACCAAAGAAGAAGAGCAGCAATTGCAGGGCGAAGCTTAGCAGCAACAATATCTGAATCTCCCAATCAACAATCACTTGGATAATGAGGCCGTTCCAAGCTTGGGCCATGCTTCTTTGACACTTCACTTAGTTAGGAGCTACACATCAGAGAGGACATTCTAATTAGAACATCGTATGTGTGTGTTTCAGCTACGCACTTGATTTAGTGAGTGTATAAATGGTCTCCTATATATAAAGAAAAACATGGTCGTCTCTCTACATATGCATGGTGTGAATAATGATATTATATTGTTTTGTGCTATAAACCAAATTGTTGTACAGCAGGTACCAAGATGAACAAACGTATATATAGTCCAACAGGCTTTTTATAATGTGACTATCGAATGTATACAAAAAAGTTCCATTTGTGTCTGTCACACTTTTTAAAACTTCTGATCGTGATCCCACAAATACCCTAAAAGTTTCATGTTGTTTATTTTTTACGAAGGGCAACTTAGAAAGTTATCCTAAAATTAGCTTAGATAGGGAAAATGTATATTTTACAACCGTAAACCTTGTTGAAAGTCTTGAAAGTAATGTAAACATTAAACCCAGACATATTGTAAACCCTAAACCACCATTTGCTTTTGAATCTTGGGATGAGTTAAGTGGGTTTGAAATTTATTGAATGATGTGCGCTGATGTGGCATAAGAATAAATTTCATCATGTTGTTCTATACTATTTTCTAGCTATATATGTTAAAAAAGTACATTTATGAATATACACGGTAAAAAAGAACTTATTGCTATGTCTAACTTTTGAACCATTCTTTTTTTACCAACACAAAAGATTAGTAGGCGCGGCCTGTTTTTCTTTTTATGTGTGGACGAAAACATTGCCCCCACAAATAAAAACAGGATGGCACTGTACCAATTCACCTGCTCTTGGAAATTCACTTCCTGGGGCAGGCCGTAGCGCCATCTGCCAATAGAAATGGCCACCATTTCCAGCCCCCCCCACCCCCGGGCGAAAATGGTGGCAATTTCTAGGAGCGATTGGTTTCACCACCCGCACCTGGTAACTAGCTCGCACGATTAACCTTACAAATTGAAAGTGCATCTAGTCCTTTAATGGGTTTTGGATGATTGAATGATAACGTGATTAAAGATCTAACCCGTTTGCTAAGTGTGGACAGGTAATAAGTTATCTCACAGGTACTTAATGAAAGCCAAAATGATGCGTTGTTGTATAAACAATCTAGTTCAAGCACAAGACAACAATGCAAATGGAATTCATGCAAATGCTTATTTATTGTGAGATTTTCATATACTATGTGAAAGCAAGCTCGTAAGAATTAATTAATGAGACATGAGGGATTGCATATGGAATGGTCTTATATTTGAAGCTTGCTAAATTGAAATGAAAAAGATAACAATACAAATGAATGGTCGATTCAACATAAGATGTGACTTGATGGCTTGAGATGGTGAAGATAGCAAGGAAAGGCTTCGAGGTCCTAAGCAAGGGTGAAGGGCAAGCGGCGGCTTGGCGGCCGAAGAACCTAACTACGGTGAAGAAGGAAGTACTTGCATTTAGTTGAGGTACTAATCAAGCTATGATGGTCATGTCAATGTGGAGGATCAAATCACTATTGGAGTGTTTGATAGAAGTGACTTGATACATTTGGGATTATTCAAATTTGATGAATGGAATCAAGTCACATGCTCAAGATGGTTATGCTCAAGTGAAAAGATCAATATCAACATGTTGGCAACCTCACTCGATGAAGAATGGAATACACGGCTTCGGTTGAAAGAGATCAACTCAAAAGGTTTAAATTCGTTATACTTTTAAATTTGAGTTAATAGGAATGTCGTACTATTAAGAAGGATGCATCATGTTGATAGATAATGTTTCATAAGTGCTCAAGCCAACCCATGTGAGTTTTGAGTGTTTGAGAGACAAAAGAGCTAATCTGTTTTTGCTGGTCTGGCAATACCGAACGTGTTCGGTATTTGCCCAGCAATGGTAATTCTTGTTGTTCTCGGCTTAGTTAGTCGAGAGTTCCGACGGTCGGGAGTTCCGGCATAGGTCGGGAGTTCCGACGTCTCGCGCTTAACTGACTCAGATGGTTCACTGCCCTGGTCATACCAGATGTGTCCGGTATTATGGACGACCAGAGGCAAACGCCTAGTTTTCAAATGCCTTGAGGGTTGAGAGTTTCGACAGTCGGAAGTTCCGGCATGTGTCAGGAGTTCCGACACCTCACAAACATCAACTCAGTTACTTAGTTTTCAAATATGCTCAGAGTCGGGAGTTCCGCTATTCATCGAGAGTTCCGACGCCTCATATTGTCACTGTAACTTAGTTACCGTTGGGGCAGTGCAAGTCATACCGGACATGTCCGGTATGTTGTCCGGTATGACAACGGCTATAAAACGACTAGTTTTTCAAGGGGCTATAAATACCCCAAGCCTCCATCTTTGGAGGATGCTGATTCTGCTGATACACATACACGTTTTTTAGCCTTGCCAACTCTCCTAAACTCTCTCTTAGTGAGTGTGTGATCCAAATTGCCAAATTAATTAGTGGGTTGAGAGAAATTCAAAAAGAGAGCAATCCATCCACTTGAGCACTTGTGCATATTGTCAATCTCGTGATTTGCATTTGTTACTCTTGGACTCTTTGGTCCTAAATAGCTAGGCGTCGCCGGAGAGCACCCGAGAGATTGTGGTGTGTCTCGGAAAGTTTGTAACGGTCGATTCCGCCGCCTCAGAATCAACTAGTGGAAGGAGGAAAATGAGTTGGAAAAGACTCTGGCTAGAGTGACCTTCATAGTACCCTCTAGGGCTGACCTTCGCTGGGTCGCCCGCAGCCCCCTCAACGGAGAGTAGGATTCGAACGAGTCCGAACTTCGGTAAAAAAAATATCGTGTCTCAATTCGTATTTCATTTGATATTTGTGTTGCTCCAGCTCTTGTGCAGGTTCTCTGTGTATATTGAGTAGGTGCCTGCAGTTTAGCTACAAGATAGAAATCGAAAGGAGCAAATTTAGGGCTGCTCTGCAGAAATCGTGTATACCGGACACGTCCGGTATTAATACCGGACACGTCCGGTATTTCGTACTTGTGCTGAAAATATTTATTCCCTGTTCTAACTTTGTGTTGCAGGGTTGTAGCTTCTAGATATATTCTTTGTACCTTACTTATTCTGTGGTTAACTTGTGAGGAGTGATATTACTTTTAATTTGGAGTTTTCCTTTTCTAATTGTTTCCGCATTTAAACGTGTTAATTTTCAGAAACGCCTATTCACCTCCCCTCTAGACGGCATCCTAGGTCCTTTCACAAATGTTGTACAAAACTCTAACCAGCTTCTTCCTCCTCGAGACACACACGGTGGTAGAGCAGTGACGGCAGAGGGAGGCCCTGCCAAAATTTTCAAGAAAATAAAAGGTGGGGGACTCCTCATTTCCTTGGAGTTGATAGCTATAGGATGTAAGCATGATGCCACGTGATAAAATACCACAAGACGGTATCAAAATATATTAAAAAATGGCAACATGCATATATCGCACCTCCGCGTATCAAAATATTCCACTTGCCAAATTCTGTCATGCCATGGAGTGGAGCTAGCGCAACAGATTATTTATCCGTGTAATTAAATATCATGGAAATGAGATTCCTGGAAGGTCATTCTATTTTTCTAAATTTTTTTTCCTAAGAAACAAGTTTATACTTGAACTCTTGAAGTACTTGAAACTGCAAAATGAAATCAAAGCATATTTGGGAAGATGAATATAAGCCGTGTATACTTGAGTTGCAGATTTTCAGTTTACCTTACAATGACACTCAGCTCGCATGCATCGACGACCGAGTTTCTTGCTGGATCCCTTGCATGGAATATTTGCACGCGTTGTTGGCAACTAAGGGTACGCAGGTTTTGGTGTAAAATTTCCCCTCCTCTTATAGTAATAGACGACGGACAACCCTGAGATGTGTCATAGATCTTATAACACATACATAAGTAAATTGATCTTTATTCCTTTCTTGTGCTCTTGAACCAAGCATCGACCACCTTTATAGGGACACAAGTAATGCTTCCTCAGCCTTCTTGTGTGCTCACAGCATCTATAACAATGAGTCACTGTTGTTTTATGGAGGCTTTCCTGTAATTCCTTTCTTGTGCTCTTGAACCAAGCATCGACCACCTTTATGGAGGACACAAGTAATGCTTCCTCAGCCTTCTTGTGCGCTCACAGCATCTATAACAGTGAGTCACTGTTGTTTTATGGAGGCTTTCCCGTAATTCCTTTCTTGTGCTCTTGAACCAAGCATCGATCACCTTTATGGAGGACACAAGTAATGCTTCCTCAGCCTTCATGTGTCCTCACAACATCTATAACAGCGAGTCACTGTTGTTTTATGGAGGTTTTCCAACCAATCGAACAAGAGAGCCATGAGACAACACCCATCGTCTCTTCGTGAAGAGACAGCAAGGAGAGAGAGAGAGAGAGAGAGAGAGAGAGAGAGATGGGGTGAGGCTTGAGAGAAAATCATGTTATTATATCAATAGATACAGAGCCAACAGAAATAGTCTCACTGTTATAAGAGTATGTGGGAACCTTATGTAAGAACAGGCCTGGCAAAAGAAGTAAGGTCTTGCTTTCCTTTATCATTCAAGTGTAGGACATTTGCCACGCTTAGTCTCCTTCTCCCCTTCCCTTTGATCATGTTGTTTTTGCATGATGTGAATAGGTTATAGAGCGGCTATCTCACTGCTGGAGATGTCCTTACACTGGGTACATAACCAAAGCAGAGATCATTATCGGCTCCAAAACCAGCACCAATCCAAATTTCAGTATTGCCAATTTAATTATTATTACAGTTTTTTATTCCGTTGTAGACTGAAATTTTTATTCTAGCTTCTATATGAGATTTGCTCTCCACCATTTATCACTACCAGAGAAACCACATTCCATCCCCGACATCCATCCCGGCCTAGGTTAGGCCTAGGACTAATGTTGGCATTAGTTTCGAGCTTAATGGCTACGGACGCTGGAGGCCTGTTAGTCCTAGCACTATAACACCAACACCCCTTTTGCAACAGATGGCTTGCAATGTTACAATTC